AATAATTTGACAGTTTAATGGTCAGTTGAGAGTGTAGTCGTATGCAACACTAAGGTAATCATGACAGTGTCCTAAGCGACACAGAGGCATCTGCACAGTGGGGAGGTGGAAGAATGTGGGGCTTGTCATTGCACAGTTCTCTATGCGGTGGAGAATCCAACTGTGGAGTTTCTGTTGTTGATTTGTTTTAGGTATAGGTCATGTGAGATCTGAGCTGGGATGGAGCATGACTCACATTCCACGTGGGAATTCAATGGCTCCTTCTATCAGCCTTCAGCTTTCCTCATGATGGGCATCCCAGGCCTGGAAGCCTTTCACCACTGGATCTCCATCCCTTTTTGTGTGCTCTACCTTATTGCTCTCTTGGGAAACTGCATCATCCTATTCGTCATAAAGAAGACCCAAAGTCTTCACGAACCCATGTACTACTTTCTGTCCATGCTAGCAGTCACTGACCTGGGGCTGGTTTTATGTACACTGCCTACTACTCTGGGCATTTTTTGGTTTAACATCCGAAGGATTGGTTTTGATGCTTGTCTCACTCAGATGTATTTCATTCACATACTGTCCTTCATCGAATCCTCTGTGCTCCTGGCAATGGCGTTTGATCGCTTCATTGCCATCTCCCATCCACTCAGGTACCCCTCCATACTGACCAAGACGACTGTCACAAAGATAGGGCTGACAATCATACTGAGAGGCACGGTCTCCCTTCTTCCAATACCTTTCTTGCTAAAGAGGTTAACCTACTGTGGGAAGACCGAGCTTTCTCATTCTTTTTGCTTCCATCCTGACATCATGAACCTAGCGTGTGCAGATATAAAAGTCAATATCTTCTACGGTATGATTGCTTTGTTCTCAATGGTAGGGATGGACTTTATCTGCATTGTGCTGTCCTACATCCTGATCATTAAAACTGTTGTCAGCCTTGCAACTAAGGAGGAGTGTCTCAAGGCTTTGAACACATGCGTCTCCCACATCTGTGCTGTGCTAATATTCTTCATTCCAATGATTGGACTGTCCATGATTCATCGTTTTGGAAAGAACTTTCCTCCTCTGGTTAGCACTTTGGTGGCCTACACCTACCTTATAATCCCACCTGCTCTCAACCCCATTATCTACAGCATAAAGTCCAGCCAAATCCGTGAGGCTTTGTTCAGGGCACTGAGGAGGAAGTGTGAATCTGACTGGTAATCTCTGCCACCAGTTCTGCCAGAAAATGCTGGTGGACATTTCTGTGCTCAGAACCAGTGGACCGGTTTCTTAATGCTGTACCCATGGGTGTCACTGCCAGGCAAAGGAGCTGCTCATCCCTCACCCCAGAGCTGTGGTCTTTCCTATTTCATCCTAGCATGAGGCTTGGTCCTTTCCAACAGCCTGCACACATCCTGGGTGTGGAAGCCACACTTTGGGGAAACAATTACAGGAAAACGAGCTTCTCCTTTTGAGTCACACATTGCAGCAGAGCAAGGAACCTCTGCGATATATTTCATGGAACCTAGCAGCCAGATCATATGTAAGCTTCACCTGGGCTCCCTTGCATGGGATCATTGCTCCCTCATTGCATGTTGCTGCATAACTAACCAAGACCACAAACTCCGCAGGACAGGAAGAGGCCAAACGAGTCGAAGTCACTCTGGATATCACAGTGAGTAATTCTGTTCAACTGGAAACACCCCAGAAGATGGAGATCATTTCCAGAGGTTGAGCACAGAGCGTTTTTGGAAGATGACATCATTGTAAGTGAACCCACAACTCTTGGTTCACTTAACAAACAACTCAGCCCTAACCTTCATCTGTATTTCTAAACTGCCATACACACTTACAGTGCTGCTTCTGCATCTCCTCTTGCTTTCTTTGAGCCTTACTATCCTACCAAGTCTAATATTCAAGCCATTGGTTTTTTTGTATCGAATGTAAAGTATGTCTACCATATATTAAAATAAAATACATGTATCATTGAAAAGGGAAAAAAAAAGAAAAAGAAGACAAAGCCTTTTTTTTTTTTCTATTTATCTAATAGGTTGGAGTTGTTTGAAGCCTTCAGGATTTGCTGTACTTGAGTACAGTACTGTATGAGTTAGGTGTGCATCAGATGGTGCGTGGGGGTCAGCTGTGGATAGCTCTCTCACTGATGAGAGGTTTCCAATCTATTCCTCCTGACATGAGTGACCGTGTGCTACAGCCTTCCAGCTAAGATCCATCAGGCACCAAAAGTCACCCTCAGAGGGATGGGAAATGGAGATGTCCAGGGTCAGGTCACACATGGATGTGGCAGTGTCTCCAAGCATCTTGCTCTTCACCAAGATGGATCTCAGCCAGGCAAGCAGAAGGGTTTCACCACCTTCTTGTCTTGCTTCATCCCACAGACAGAATGAAACTGCCCCAAATCTTCCACACCTCCTGTGTTGCACTTTCATTGGTTTTAAGCCACATTTGGGGCAGATTGGGCCTTTGTGCAGAGAAGGAATGGTCTTCATTTACCCTGTGGGGGTGAAGAAGCAGAGGGAGTTGGGACAGCACTGCATACCAGAACTGGGCTGTTGCTAAGCTTCTCCCACTTCAGACTAACCCAGAATTGGTGTCTTCATCTTTTTTTGGTCTATTCATATCTGCACTTCTAATAAAGACAGAAAAGAATAATGAGAGTACTTCTCCATGAGAAAACGGAAAGGGAGAAGGGATGATTCCCAAGGGGAGGATTCCCAGGACATTCTTTGCATTGTGCTGTGCTAGTTACTTTGCAGCGTCCCCGTGGGCCCTTACAGAGGGTGAAATACTGCTCAGTAGAACACCACAAGACCTTCTGTCCAAACAGTAGGCACAGCAGCTCCTGCTTGCATTGAGTAGCACCTGGTGGGAGCTCTTCGCTCAGAATACCTACGGTCCAGGCTGGTGCTGGGGCCAGCTGCTATCAGAGGAGTAGGAGAACAAGTAAGTCTTATGGCAGGAAAGCCTACAAAAGAGCCTCGGTTGGAGATGCTCAGCTTGCAGGATCCTCACACAGCACTGCTCCCTGATTGAAAATTTGCAGACTGTTCTCAGAAGCAACAAAAGCCAGAGGAGCCAGAGGTGCTCCAGCAAGGAGACGTGCATTCAGATGGTGGTGGTGAGACACAGGAAACGCATAGGGTATGTGTTAGTGCAGCTGGAAGCCATGCTGGAGTGAGGATGCAGTGCATCTGATGCACCTCCATCACCCAGCACAGCTTCACCCAGCTCAGCACAGCTTCATCTGCCTTTGTGTTTCCTTCCCAAATGGAGCAGCTGGAGGGCAGCAGGCAGGTGTTCAGGATCTGAGAACTGGTATAAGGCACTGTCCATTAGGAACACGCACTCACAGATCTTAGTGGCTGCTTCTGGGAATGGGAAAATTAATTGTGGTTTGACATCTGGGAGTGAAAAAAAGATAGACGAGCCACTTAAACCTACTAATTCCTATTCTGTGACGCCCTGAGCTCTGCACTTTGTATCATGGGATGTGCAGTACTTGCTGATGGATTTATTTCCTATGAATCAAGAGGGCAGTGCGAGACACATCACAGGCATGGCTTAATGAGGAAAGGAGAGGAGATGGAGGAGGAGCAGGAGAACAGGATGGAAAAAAGGAGTGGAAGGGGAGGAGGCAACACACGGCCATTGTGGCTTTGTAGAATTTAAAGGAAAAAAAAGTTCAGATGAAAAATTCTGGTCAGCTCCAGCAACAGAGGAAGACAGCACCGAGCACTACGACAATATCAGCCCATTCCCCAAGAGTGCCCATGTTCTGAAATCTGAACACACACACTTCAAAACCCTTGGCAGACATTGTACCGGAGGTGAAGAGATGCAGGAAATGGAACACATTCCCTTCTCACTGCTGCACGGGATGGGAAAAGCAGAGAGGACTGCTCAGTGGGGAAGGCTTTTCCACCACCTGCTTTATTCTTGGGAGTTCACTCCATGGGACAAATCTGGTCAATGTTTATGAGTATTTCCTGAGATCAGCCACAGTGGTTGCTGTCAGTGTTCCTCTGGTTGGGATGGCTTCTCTGCCCACATTGCTCACCTCTTGCCAAATGCAGCCACTGGGGATCAGCCAGGGAAAGCAAATCTGCACTCCCTGCTGTTTTATTAAAGGTATGGATGGACCCAGCTCTCTGCTCTGCATAAAGCAAGCTCCTTCTATGGATGGTGTTGGTCACGCTAGCAGTCCAAAGCCATTAGCCATTCCTGAAAACGTTGGTGCATTCCTCAGTGCTGAAGGACTAAAGATCAACTGAAACATCCAGGGAGTGTTGACTTGTTGTGTCTCTCCCAGTTGCATTCTCTCAAAAGGAATGAATAGGATGGCAGAGTTTTAGCAATGAGAATCATGCTGTCCTTACACTTCGGTGGGTGCAGGTAAGTTGACTCAGACACTTGCTGGCAATTACTGAAGCGTTTTGTGCACTCTGCTTGCATCTTGGTGCTCACTTGCATCTTGGTGTAAGTGGTTTGCTGCAAATGTCCTTGCTAGAATAGCTTTCAAGCAACTTGATACCAACAGTCTGCCTACTGTGTTTGTAAATTGTGCATAAAAAAACAGCATGTGAGTTTTATTTATCACAGAGTCAGGATTGGAATAACGTCCCATCAGGGAAATGAGCTATGATTTCTGTTTTAGGATGAGTGATTCAACACAGACGTGCAGTAAAAACAGAGTTTTTTGCAAACAAATGCTACTTTTAGAACCATTTGGACTAGTAACCTGCAGTAAAAATGTGTAGCATCCCTGTTTTACATGGGTGGGGTGTGGAATTTGTTGTCAGAAAGCTCAGCAATGCTGCAGACAGCCTTGCTGTGGGACTCAGGCAGGGTCTGCACCTCTGTTCCAGCCCTCCCAGACTGCCCCAGGAAGCTGGGGTTGTACAGCTATGTGGTGGTGAGTGGTGACACTGCTGTTGTTTCAGGAATTGGTGCTTCTCCTTAACAGCTTTAAATCCCAGTGTTCTTAAAATTCTGATCTATGTGAACAGAAGGGCAGCTTAAAGCCTGTGTTTCTGATGGCAGCGTAGTGCATACGGGAAAGGCTCAAGCAGAACCAGAGTTGTGCAGGAGCAATAAAAATGTGTTTTATTTGATTTTGCCCTTGCAGCAGAGGACGTGCCACAGCATAGCATGACTGCTCTTCACCCTGCATGCCATGCCCTTCCCCAACAGCTCTGACCTCAGCCCATCCTCCTTCATCTTGGCCAGTATCCCAGGGCTGGAGGCTGCCCATTTCTGGATGGCGATCCCTTTGTGCTCCGTGTACGTTATGGCTGTCGCAGGCAACTGCATGGTGCTGTTCATCGTCAAGACGGAGCCCAGCCTGCACGTTCCCATGTACTTCTTCCTCTGCATGCTGGCTGCCATCGACCTGGCCTTGTCCACCTCCACGGTGCCACGTGTCCTCGCCTTCTACTGGTTCAACACCAGGGAGATCAGCTTTGGAGCCTGCCTCGTCCAGATGTTCTTCATACACACGCTCTCGGCCATTGAGTCCACCATCCTTCTGGCCATGGCTGTGGACCGCTATGTGGCCATCTGCCACCCGCTGAGGCACGCTGCCATCCTCACCAACGCGACGACAGCAAAAATAGGGCTGGCAGCCATGGTCAGAGGAGTTCTCTTCTTCCTGCCCTTGCCTTTGCTCCTGCTGCCCCTTCCTTTCTGCAGCTCACGGGTGCTGTCACACTCCTTCTGCCTGCATCAGGACGTGATGAACCTGGCCTGCGCCAACACGACCCCCAGCGTGGTGTATGGCCTCACCGCCATCCTGCTGGTCATGGGGCTGGACGCCCTCCTCATCTGCATCTCCTACTTCCTGATCCTCAAGGCTGTCCTGCGGCTGGCATCGTGGAAGGAGAGGCTCAAGGTGTTCAGCACCTGCATTGCCCATATCTGCGTGGTCCTGGCCTTCTACGTGCCTCTGATCGGGCTGTCAGTGGTGCACCGGTTTGGGAAGGATCTGGCCCCGCTGGTCCATATCATCATGGGGAACATCTACATCCTTGTGCCAGCTGTGCTCAACCCCATCATCTACGGGGTGAGGACTAAAGAGATACAGAGGAGGATCCTAAATTTCATTCACATACACAACAACAGAACAGCCCAGTGACTTGTGCTTGGATGTTGTGTCCTGTTCCCACTCACTGTCTCAACTTGTTTTACACTCAGAGTCCTTGGAGTTGGGGCTGTCCTCTGTGCAGCACTCAGCACCCTGTAGGATCCTCTAAGGTGCTATCGCAGGGTAAAAAGAAGATAACAGCTGCAAACTGCTTCCAAGAGTGCTTACTCCACCAAACCTGGAGTGAGTCTACCCTGATGATCCAAATCCAACCCTGATCCAGCAGATATGGGAAGGAAAAAATGTCTCAGCAAACTAACAGCGTCTTGACACTGCACTTCTTTGTCCCCATCTCCTCTCTAATTTGCACAGCTGAATGATTCAGATTAATTCACGGGTTTTGCTCGTGATGTGCTCACTGTCCAAAAACATTTTAGCAAAGGTTTTAGCTAACATTTATTTTTAAGTGAAATAATTGCAGGTAACCTTAAAGGTGCGGAAATGCACTTTAAAAGTGCTCCACCTCTATAGTCCTGTTCTGATCTACTGGGTGTCCAGTTAACGCAGCTCTGACCCCTCACAGCTCACAGCTATTGACAGGGGTTGTGAAAATAATTTTCATTTATAATTATATTCTGGAAAACCAGCCTCTCAAGAGAGAAATGAGGAAGTTGTAAATGTGAGGGATAGTCCCAGCTGAACGAATCACTATTTCCTAGTGGAAGGTGTTTTATTCTTTGACTTCACACGTGTATGAATTTCCAAATGAGCTCAAGATCTCCACCTTCCAGATTTTTCTTACAATTCCAAGGTATTCTGCATTAAATCAGAATATTTCATAGCCTCTCCTCCCAAGAGTCTCACAACTCTTCTTTAAGTGGGAAGCTATAAAACTCTTTAAATGTGATGGAAGCCTTCAAGTCTTGGGGCCCATAAAGATGTGAAAGATGATGCAGTGAAGTGCATTTGTTTTGGCTGGCCTTCACCAATCCACAGGCACATACTTAGAAATGTAGCTTACCAACAATGTTTTTCTGGAGAATAGAAAAGAAAAAAAGAACAGCGTACAAGACATTTTTCATTGACATCATCTCATAATTTGGAAAAAGGTTAAAGACCTTGGGAAGGGATGTTGTGCAACTGGTCTTGCAATGAAGCACACCGATTTAAAGATGTTCTCAGATCTTTTCTTACCCCAATCCATTGAAAATCTTTATGTACTTTGTCTTTATAAAAATGATTTCTTCTTCGTAAATAGAAAAAGATCCAAGCAATCCTTTCTTTTCCCTCTTGGCTTAATCTCTCGCCTTGTGGCTTGTTGGCTATTTTAAACTGTGCTCTCCATCCCCGAGGTAGCTGTGGAGTCTCCCTCCTTGGAGATCTTCAGAAGCCATCTGGGCTGCATTGCCACGGGCAGGAATGTGTTTGCTGTTCCCACAGATCGACTCTGGAGCAGCCCCTGGAGTTCCTCTGCTGAGAGGGCTGGGTGATCTCTAGCTGGCTGTCTCTACACAGGTGAGTAACAGAGAGGAAGTCATCTGGGAGCAAAACCCTTCATGTCAGGACATCTCACAGATGACCAGAGGTACCAGGGACTTCCGTGATCTGTGCTCCATCAGGAGGTCCAGGAGCTCTTGAACATTGCTATCTTCATCAGCAGAATATTATCAAAGAATCCATGGGGCAATTCGGGTTGGCAGGGAGCTCCAAACATCTCCAGTCCAAACTCCTGATCGGCGCGGGCGCAGCTTCAGGGTCAGAAAGGAAGCAAAGCTGTTCATCCAGTCTGCTGCTGAAACCTCCAAGGACAGATGTAGGACAGCATCTTTGGGCCTCTGTTGCAATGATTGACTGTCCTTACTATGACTTTTTTTCCTCTTTTTATCTGGCTTGAACCTCTCATTTCAACTGACACTTGTGTCTCTCATCCTCCCACTGCACCACGCTGTGAAAGCCTGGCTTCCTCTTCCCAGTTACGTCCTCATGGGCAGGGAAAGGCTGCTCATCTTGGGAAGAGCCAAAGCTCTGAAGCTGAACAAGCCTATTTTCCTCCTCAAGTACCACTGATCCAGCCCCAGCCACCCTGCTAGCTATCAGATGAATATTCTCCCCACTGTCAGTGCCTTTTTTGTGCTAGGGCCCCAAACTGGATTGGCTATCTAGATGTGGTTTAGCAAGTGCTGGGTAACCCCTCGAGGACACGGCCTATCACTGTCTAGAAAAGTCATCCCAGCACCCAAAACAATGAACACTGGGAGGGACAGGTAGAGAAGGAGAAAAGACCAAAACAGAAATGCCAGGGGGCGTAATTCTGCGCTGGCTCACAACATACATGTGGAATCATGCTTTGCAGTCAAAGAGTCATAGGGTGCTTTTTTGTTAGTGCTAAATGGATCAGAATCCTTGGGGAAAGCCCACAGAATTATGTTTAGCTATGAAAAAAAAAAAAAGCATTTTGGAAAACAGCATAAGGAAAATGTATTATTTCCATCAGAGAGAATGGAAGCAAAGAAAAGCAAGCAAATACCTCAGAAGTGCAGAGGTTCAAGAGCTCTCCTCCCTCACGGCTGCCAGGAGTGGGCACACAGAGGCAGCCGTGGTTCTTGTCCAGAGCAGCAGACCAGGGAGCCCTGCTCACTCCTGAAGCTTTCATCACTGTGCTGTCTTTGACGTGTGGTTTATCACTTGGCACCTTGTCCAGCCACCAGCACCGCTGGCTCTGAGGATGCGTGGGATGTTTATGGGATTGCATTTGTGGGGTATTAAATTCCAGAGAGAACTTTATGCCTGCCTGTCCTCCTGTCCAGCACAGATCTTCTGTTGCACCAGGGCCGTCTTACATCTTGCCCCTAACTCCTAGTTGTGCTGAAAGAGGATGCTCACCCAGAGCACATGCTGCTTTGCTTGAGGGCCTTCAGCTGGCAGATGATACACTGGAGTGTGGTGTGATTTCTTCTGATTGCCAGCTAACACTGGAGGAAAAGGATTGTCCTCTTTGTAGTCTGTATTTCTGTAGCTTTGGACTCTATGAAGCACATTTTGCTATAAGCTTTTCTCCTAAATTAAAGCACATTTTATTTCAAAATATTTTCATTTCAGCAAGTTACAAGCAGTTTCTACCTGGGACTTAAAAGCAATTCCATCCCTTGTCATTTTTGTCAGATTCTGTTTTATTAGAGCTTGACGGGCAACATGTTTTCATAAAAATGGAAACAATCTATACCTGCCTAATGTGATTGGAGAAGTGTGAATGAATTCTCCAGAGGTGCGCTATGCATCCAAACACTTTTCAGATGGCTGTGACATTGAGAAATGGCTCCTGCTCGTTCTCCATATGTCCCTTATTTTGTTTCCTTTTGTACTGAGAGAAAAATTAATAAAGGAAAATGAATGAACCATCCTGAAAATGCTGTGGTTTTTTTTTACTAGCCATCCACTTCTCAGAAAGACTGTTAATAGAGCCACAGAGAAGGGAGGTATGATGAATTCTTCCTTAAGGAGCTTATGGGTCCCTGATACACTTGTTCACTGTGGAGTCCCCAAGTCAACACGATCCTGAAGTAACAGCAGGCTGCAGTGAGAGCACACGGTGTCTGAATTCCTCTCTCCACCATGAGCAGGACCAGGTGCCACAGGTGGGGATGCACAGAGTTTGCTGGTCTTCACTCAGCCCCAAGTACCTCACAGAGGAAGAGGAAAGAACCAAAGTCTCTTGAAAAAGGGAGAGAAAAGGGAAAGGAGAAATAAGGAGAGAGAAGTAGGGGAAGGCAGAACGCAAGGAAAGCTTGCATACAAATGGAGAGAGAACAGGAAGTCACTGGAGCACAGAATTGGCAAAGGAGTCAACAAGGAGTGACATGAGACCAGTGCAGCGGTTGGAAATGAACTATCAGTGTTGATACGTTCACTGATTGTTGGGATTGATAGAGTTTAAGACAGTCCAAAAGAAAAAAAACAAAGGTTTCTTACAGAAATTTCTTACAGAAATTGACATGGCCAAAGATTTGATGCAGAAATGTAATAAGAAACTTCATCAAGAGGAAGATGTCCCTGGCAATGACAGAGAAGGAGGCTTAGACTACCTTTAAGGGACCTGCCCAACCCAAATCAATCTTTGATGCTATACTGCATGGACACCACAGAAACAGCACAGGGAGGTACAGCGTGCCCCAGTGCAGAGCAAGTAACTCAACAAACTCTGGAAGATACTGCAAGAAAACTATAAAAAAAACTGTAAAAAACTATAGAAAACTGAAAGATACAGACAGAAAACTGACCAAAGTTTTAGATCAAAACTGTACAACAGACGATGAGATCATCAGCATTGAGGTGGATAAAAGTTGATTTCTTTTCTGTTTCTTTTTTGTCTCCCTAATTACATGCTAATCGGCAGGGGAAATTCAGAACTCTGCTAAGATTTACCTGTGGCTTATAAATATCTCCTGGTCCCCACAGTGCCCAGTCCCTGCCTGGAAACCTGCAGAAGGCGGGTGAGTATGGAGGGCTGGGGCAGAACGTGGCTGGTCTTGAGGCTCGCGCTCTCCCTGGACGTGCCGTGCCCTCCCTTCTTGCTGCTGCTGCACCTCTCCCACACAAGTGACCACGGCCCCAGGGCAGTTTCTGAAGGCTCTTGCCAGGTCCCCAGCACTGCCCTGGCTGTGCTGCAGGGCTTCTCAAGCAATCCCTGTCCCCACCTATAGGGAAAATCCCGGGAGCTCAGCCATGTTTGGGGGCTGAGTGAGCTGCAGTCTGCAGGACAGGAATGGGCACTGCAGGAGCACTGCCGTGGAGGGGGCTTCTCCAAATGCGGGGCCACTGCCTCGGGGCTTTGCTCTGCAGTTGCGTGTTTCTCACCCATGGCAAACACCCAGTGCCTCTGCTCACAGCAGCAGGCAGCTTGCTTCAGAACAAAGCTTCTGCGGAGCTGGAGGGTTGCTGCCAATGACTTTGCATCCCCTCTCTGCCCTTTTCCAGGTTTGCTTTGGACTGCTTTGCATCTGCAAGTTCTTATTTGCAAATTCAAATTCAGCAACAATCCATTTTGCATGCTGTATGAGTTTCAATAGGGCCAAGTGTCAGGTCCTGCATTTTGGTCACAACAACCCCAGGCAACCCTACAGGCTTGAGGAGGAGTGGCTGGAAAGCTGCCTGATGGAAAGGGACCTTGGTGTGCTGATGGACAGTCAGCTGAATGTGAGCCAGCAGTGTGCCCAGGTAGCCAAGAAGGCCAATGGCATCCTGGCTTGTATGAGGAATGGAGTGGTGAGCAGGACTGGGGAAGTCATCCTGCCCTGTACTTGGTACTGGTGAGGCCTTACCTTGAGATCTGCGTTCAGTTTGGGGCACCTCAGTACAGAAAGGACATGGAGGTGCT